CTCCACTGTCCAGATATACACTTAAACATTTATGAAAATACTCCCTGGAGTTCCTAACATGTCACTATTCGAACTGGCACAAGCCAGCTCAGACTACTCCCTAAAGTGTCACTGCAAATCAGTTTTGAGCAAGATAAAATACACCATCACAAGATGTTCTGTTCAGTAAGTGCAGCTAAAAGTGACAGCTCTTATTCTAGGAGGAATAAACTTTTCATTTAATCTATCTGAAAAAAAAAATCACTTGCCAAATAAAATCTAATACTCTGCTCCTATAGAAGAGCAGCCAGTGTTTTCAAACCAATTGAAACTACAAATTTTAACCTGAAACTCTTATTTTTTCATAGTTTTCAAGCATAAATACAGTTTCTCCATAAAACAGCTAATATTTTTTAGCTAGTGTAACTTGCATGTATCATGATTTTAAGAAGTTGTTTTCTCTTCAACCATGCAAACTGATCACCTACTCACAACTAAAGAGTTTAGAAACCCAGCAATGTCAAATATTGCACAGTCATTCATACAGGTTTGTTTTGCTTGTTTTGTAACCCAAGATTGAAACCAAGGTACTTAGGAGCAACAGGGAAGATACCAATGAGAAAGGAAAACTCTGAAAATCAGCATATCTCATTCAAGAAAGACAATGTGCTGGGAGGGCTCAAAAGCTTCCACAAAGGAGCTAAGTTTTCATCTGTACAGAAGACTCCATGAACATGACACCATCTCAGGAGGCGAGGAGTACTTCAGTCTTGCCCTCTTCTGCCACAATACTGTGCAGGAACTAAGGGTATAACACTTCCACAGAAGACTTAACTTTCCAGTTAGGCATTTCACCACTGTCGTTATTTTTAATGAAAAATAACAAATCCATGCATATTGGATAAATCTGCATTGTGCATGGATATTGCATTAACTCTGAAATAAAGATTTCTCAATGTGTACATACTGCCAACAATAGAAAAAGTACCACTTGAGGATTCGCAAGCACCTGAGCTACTGCATCTCTATTTGTATAACTCAGCTATTAAGAAAAAAGACCTGAATAATTAGGTTAACTTATTCCATTTTTAAGCAGCAGAAAGAACAGCATAAACTGACTAAAATCATCAGTACTTGGTAGCATGTGATGAAGAGCCTATTACTTACTAGCTTGCTCTGTAATTCTCCTCTTACTGTGCTGTACAACAAAATGCTACCAACTGCTGTACCAATAGCCAGGATATCTAACTGCCTGTCCACTTCCACTTCTGCATCTTCAGACTTCCGTTTTTTCCTCTGGGGGCCATCCTGGAAAATCAAAAGAGAAAACATTAAATTAATTAGGCTCATCAGCTACTCTCAGTGTTAAAGAAGAGAGGAAAAAAACTTCTGTAACTTCAAAACCCAGTCAGCGAGCAAAAACTCTGCTAAGACACAAAACGAAGACACTGGAGTGCTCAGCAACCTAGAGACTCATCTTGTACTTCCAACTGCAAGGTAATGAAGTTGCTGAGACTCGTTTGGAAACATTTGGTGGAGGCCTTTTTGCTAGCCTAGCAACCACATCCATGTGGGGAAAAAAAAACCCACATTCAAGTTTTTCAGAGTGTCCCAGAATCAGAAGTAAAGATGAACGCTACCGGAATACTTCATCCACAAAATGGAAATGCTTGATCAAGAATGGTCATTTTGGTTTTTATCAAAAGCTATTCAGAAGAGTCTTGCAAAAATCAAATGTAAATAATGCCTCTGAAAAAGGAAGTGCTACCCCACTCAGCAGAGGGAAGCAACCAGGACTTGAAGCTACATGGTTTGCCCAAGTCCAGGTGTCAGTATGAGAGGTTGTCCAAGGATCAGGCAACTCTTAAAGTCTTCACCCTCTTGCTTTGGAAGTCCTACCAACCACTTCAAGGAGAGATTTCACTTCATCTCTCACCAGTGAATGTAGCACATCACTGGGGAGGGGAGAAGGAACCAAACCAGCTCTTGAGTGTGTGGAACAAAAATAACGATGGTAGAAGATGCATGTACATTTGTTCTCACTGGGTTAATCCCACATAACTAATCACACACAAGCACAGAAAGGACTTCAAGGAGAAAAAAATCATCCCTAATACTACTGATTAGTTTTTAAATTAGACTTCAGTAAGTCTCCTTACATTTAATACATCACAGCAAAGCATTCTTTCCAATTAAAAAAGCCCCATAATTATACATAAGCTAATGCTTCCTCTACACAACAGAAATATTTGCACTGATGAACAGCTAGAAGCGAAAGGAGACTCTGATAAAATGTGAGCAATCAGCTCAGTGCAAGTATCATGTAGTGTAGCTACTCTGTCATACAACAGATATCACACTGTAAACGTAAATAATTTTTACTCAGGCCCAAAGATACAGTGACAATCTAGATTTTGGAGTTTTCAGCACAACTAAGATTTAGAAGTTCAGCAGTGCAAGATAAATGCTCTGGTTCACTGAAGCAGGACTTCCTTTTCCTCCGTATTTAACACAGATAACACCTTCTGCAAAGAAAAGCGTTTTGTTTTAGGCCAATAAATATAAAAATGATATATAGATACTTTTCAATGAAAAGCAGTCTCTTGAGAAAAGAGCTTACACTGGATTTTTTGGAAGCATTTGTTTAGGCTCCATCTTTCCTGGGAAAGAAGTGTTTATAAAATATTAAAAAAATGTAGGCTGATAAACCATCAGTCACAAAATGCAATCAAGTAAATCAACCATGTTGCCACAAAAATATAGAAGAAAAGACAACTAGTTAGAATTTATGGAAGCAATGCCATCTAAGCCATCTTGAAAATGTTCACTGATATGCAAAGATATGGGCCACAGAACCAGTGGAGTTTCAAGTACAGTTTATGTTTTCTGGTACTTTTCAATCTATTTATTTAGTTTTATTAATTACCTCATACACCTCTACTGCAAAACAAAATCACCTTTAAGAACAGATTTTATTGTCTTCCCTGGCATAAATCTTTTAACTAAATTTTTTTCTCTTCCATTTCAGTTTATGGCCAATTTCCTTTGGAACCATGAAAGGTAAAACTGAAGTCCACAGTTACTTGCAGTGTTGAGAAGAAAGCTGGAGTCAAGAAGGTGCTTTTTTTTTTTTTCTCTCATGTATTTCTTTACTGACCATCCTTTATGATGATTGTTAATGGGGCATTTAGTCAGAAATTTCTGGATGGCAGAAATGCCAGTGAAAAATTCAGACACCTACTAATGTTGGAAATAATGTGAGAAAAAAATGTCAATAATAAATAAATAAATACAAAATTACAAAAAAAAAAAAATCCATAAAACTTCTCTACTCTGCATTAGATTAGTACATAGGCTGCCAACTGCAGTAGAGATCCATGTGGGACTCACCTGTGGATTGAGATCTTAAATATAAGAGCACCCTGTTTTCATGGATAGGATGGGACAAGACAGAACAGTTGAACTATACTAAGTGTTAGTTTCCTTTTGATTTTTTTTCAGATTTATGGAAACTCAAGCTTATTCAGAAATCCTTCAACATTGCCTGAAAAAGGAGTGTTTTAATTACTAGAGATGTTTAAAAGAAGTTACTTGTAAAGGGACTCTGCATGTATTTTTCCATAATGTTCTTACTTGAGCAGGTAAGCCACAAAAACTTTTTTTTTTAAAAAAAAAACAACAAACAGACAGAAATCCCATCTCTGCTGCTCACATGTGAAGTAAATCACATGGAGCAGGAGCTGGTGAACAGTGCCAGCAGGAAGCACTGACACTGTGAAAGCACATGTGCAGGGAACATCCGAATAAGCCACCACTGCATCAGCAGTTCCTGGGCTTGCAGTTCAAAACTTGGGTTTCTAATATTCCCCTGTAACACATGGCCTTCATTAACATGGCAACAGTCCAAAACATACTTAGTTTAGGTGTAACTTGGCCAAACACCATTTATAGGTATCTACTGGCACAGTTTTACTTGTGGACAGCAGACACTAGTACTATATAGAGATGTCAACTCTCCAGGAATTTAAAATTTAAAAAAAAGAAAAAAAATACTAAGTAATGTCAAAACCTCCATGTTCAATCAAATGTATTTGGCAGAACCATCACAGCCTTGGCTCTTCAGTTCAGTCTAAAGACAAACCACTGAATTACAAAATTTTATGGCATTATTCCAAGAAATGGTATGTTTTTGAGCTCCTCTTGAAAATGTACAAACTTCCAAGCAATGAATAGAATTCCAGATAATGGAATAATTAGAAAGCATTGAGAGGAAGACAAATATTATCTCATCAAGTCAGTTTTCTATATAACCCCAAACCAGGTTAAACTGGACTATCTGTGGGGTTTTTGGCACCACAGCAGCGCACTATGTAAGGGTTTTTTTTCACAGAGGATATATTAAGCCCATTTTCACATGCCAGTTGCAGTTTATTTAAGTGTGAAAAAGAACCTAATCCTGCAATTAATGAATGTACCCTTTTTTCTGTAGTTACATGACAAATGAAGAGGTTAAGACCAATATAAAACTAACCCTTTCTGCTGCATTCTTCAAACGTTCAGGGAATTATCAAAGTTGAGGGATTAGGCTACTCAACTGAGAAAAATAAGGAAATTCCTTCTACCTTTGGATCAGGAATCCAATGATCAGCATTCTGAAATACCTTTTACAGAATTTCAAGTAAACTAAATAGCTGATTTACCACAGCACATTTTAAAAAGGCCTCCCTAATACTTATGATGTAGGGGATGGATTTTATTTCTTGGGAAATGGTATGTTCTAACTAAAAAAAACAACTTCAACATAAATAGAATGAAAAGGTAGCTTACTGTGTACATGCCACATATTTTTAGGTTGACTGCTCACCTAAGGTGAAGTTAAATAAAACAAATTCAAAGCAGAGAACATCTGAGCCCTCTGAATAAAGTTACTGAATACCTTCACACAGGATTCCTGAGTTTGGAAAGACGTGCCACGGACAGCACAGCAGCTTGCATGGATACACTCCCAAGGGTGAGGAAGCATGGGGAGAGACTGCCTTTACTGGAATGTGAACCGTACTAAGAGAACACACAGCAGCCGACCTGCTCTGCAGCATCACCCTTTCAGTTTAGGTGATCTGTGCCATGAAGTGACATACCTAGCTCCCTCAGTGACGGCTTCTTCCACGCAGGTGGCATGCAAGACAAATTACGTTACACGGCCGGTACTGCCGTCGATAGCAGCCCCCCCCTCCC